AAATTTTGAAATAAATGAATTTAGAAAATTTTCTTATTTAATTACTTTTAATCTCCACCTTCCATTATTCCTAACACAATCCAATGGTCAATATTCAATCCTACATTTTGCCACTTTTCTCCTCTCTATAAACTCATCTTCCCCACATTTTTATAACACACAACTTACATACATTCTTCAATCCTCATTTGTTCAAAGTCTCCATTGTTTGTTGCTCTTTCCAAGCTTACAAGTTTATTTCTTTTCATCTTATTCTTGAGAGAGATTATTATTATATTGTGAAGAAATAGTTGTGAGTATCCCAAATTGTAAATCTACTCTTTGAGAGAGTTGTGGTGTGTTATTATCAAACTCAAATACTTGTATCGGTTTGATCCTGCGCCGTGGAAAGGATTGAGTTTGCTCTTGAACTTGTAAAAAGAGCGGTGTACCGGTTTGGCTCTGATCCGTGGAAAGAGTCGGAAAAGTTCTTTATTCAAATTCCCAAGAAGCGCTTGGGGAGTGGAGTAGGTCGAGTTTGACCGAACCACTATAAAACTACGGTGTCATTTTCTCTAACTCTTTCCTATTTAATTTCAAGATTATTATTATGATTTATTGCATGTTCTACTTTATTATTGTTTTGACTTGAATTATTTTGTTTTAGTAATTATCATCTTCTACTTATTTGTAAAAAGTTTTATCATTAGAAAAATTAATCAAGTTTAAACACTTTTATCGTTAAAACCCTATTCACCCCCCCCTTTAGGGTTGCCATACCGATCCAACATATGCATCCTTGCTCGAATTTTCTAGACAGCCTCATTGGTGAGTCGAACCAGATCGGGTCCTACTAACTCTCTCTCGCCTACTTTGTCCCAGCATAGTGGGGACCTACACCGTTTTTCGTATCGGGCCTCGAACGGTGTCATTTCAATAGTTGCTTGGAAACTATTATTATACGAGAATTCCATGAGGTGGAGTTTGGAATCCCACTTCCCTTAAAATCTAGTACGCAAGCGCGTAACATGTCCTCTAGAAGTTGGTTTAAACACTCGGGGTGGAAAGCGGTACTAAAGTCGAGGCGGGTACCTAGTGCTTTTTGAAGTCCGAGCTAGAACGCTGACGTAAAGCGTGGGTCCCGATCTGACACTATAGATACTAGGACTCCATGTAGTCTTACTATTTCTTTCACATACAGCTGTGCCCAATTGTCAACTGTATATGTAGCTTTCCTAGGTAGGAAGTGTGCCGACTTGGTCAACCTATCAACAACTACCCGATCATTGTATAGCCTTTAAGCGTTTTGGGTAATCCTACTATGAA